AATCAGTAGCTTGTGGAAAGATAGCTTGAGTTGTGTGTTKAAAATGTTCCATTTCTTTCCTTCAACTCTTTGTTCCTTTTCCTAAATACCAGAATAATATATCTGAAAATGTAGTATAAGCTGTCTTTATCTGGAACTGATATAATAGCCATCAAATTTAAGATAAATGTGTAGTTTATACTTTAGATCCAGATATTGCCCCAGAGTTTTAGAGTAACATCTTCTATTCTCCTACCTGATTCCCTAACTTTACAAAAAAGAAACGGAAGCTTTTGGTAGAAAATAGCAGTTGTTTTGTGTCTTGAATAGTGCTAGTTGGTTAGTTTAAACAGAGTGGAAATTTTCTGTAGTTGTTAGAATTTGCGTTCTGCTTGTGTGAATCCAGGAATAGTTTCTTGTTGTGGGCTGCCTGCATCATGAAATCCTCCTCCTTCCACTTTACATCATTTGTGAACATTTTCCTTTTGTTTTTCCTAAATTGTGTATTACTTGATATTAGTTTTACCAAATGATCTTTGATATCTTATATCAAAGGAGACTTTATTTTTCTTTGTGAGTGCCGATAACCAGATTTCATTTCATTTCTAATTAAAAAAAAAAAAATGTGTATAGTATAAAGCCATATTTGCTGGCGATCTTATCCCTAGACCTTAAAATCTTTTTATTCTCCATATGTACTTTCTATATTCAGTGGCTGTTGAAGGTTGCTCACAGGACCTACTGTTCAGGTGATAGTTGATTTAACTTGAAGTAACTGTGAAATTAGCCATTCTTTAGCTGCTTTTCAGTTTTTGTTTCCAAATGCATAGATTATTTTGATAACATATGATGTTCTGGGAATATTTAAACCAATTATGGTTGGTCTAACTCAGGCCTCAAAAATAAATATATGAGGTACTTGTAAACCAGTTGACAGTGCAGGAAAACAAACTGCATGCTTCGTTACGGTGTAAACCGGAGAATCTGGGGGAGGAGTGAGGCATCTTATAGAAGCAGTGCTGACCTCTCTAAATTCCCTTATGTGAAGTTAGTCCATTCATTTTTATTCTTTCTGTAGAATTTTCTTATGTATGACTTGATACATTCAAGAGGATAAGAGAAATACATTGTATATTTTTCCTGCTAATAATGAATGAAGTTGAGATTTTTACAATAAACAGACCAGGTGAGAGCTAATATGTCACTGTCCTCTCATGAAGTGGCTGTTAATTATAAATAACTACTAACCCAACTGCGCTGCCCTGTCCTGGCAGGGCTGTGYGTGATGCGGGTGTAGATGGTGCTTCCCTCGTTTGTGCAGTGAGCTGCTACCCATCCTCTCGAGGCAGTGTACACTAATGTAGTGGCTGGTGGCTTAGCTTGATGAGGCTGTTTTTGTTATTACTTATTTATCTTTTATTTATCTTTTATTCATCTTTTGTTGTAGCTGGAAAATAGAGCTTAAGGAAGTGCTAAATGTAGGTAGTGACCCTGTACAATGCCTACACTTAGCACAGAAGGCATTTGGGGGGCACTTTGCAAATGCAGAGTACAATTGCTTGTACTATTCCCTGCATGTTTGCTGGTGATTAGATTAAACGTGTTTCACTTGGCTTCCTGGGTTCCTGCTGTAGGGCAAAGGGCACATTTCTTATTGATAGACTGAAGGAAAACACAGCATGCTGTTGGGTAAATGGAACAACTAGATGAGTAACAACAATGAGGCTGTTCACAAACTTTATTTTGTGATAGCCAAGAAGAATAGAATTAAATTAACCTGGTAAAAAAACATTTGATAGGATCTGTCATATTTAAACTCCACCAGCAGTATTGGAGGGGAAATCTGACCAGGCAGAGGATACAGAGGATAAAGGAGCAGTCAGCAGCTATAGAARCATACTCCTTACAGCTTAAAAACATCAGTTCTCCTTTCTGTCCATAAAGAGCGGGGATATGTTCAGAGCACAGAGTCAGTCAGCAAGGCATTGAGCTGCCTCACGCGCTGCCCTCTGGTTACTGTTCAAGCCTGGGGCAGCTCTTCACACAGGTGGCTTCTACGCATACCAATGTGTGTAATGGAAACTGGTGCTTTTTTCCTTTGTTTTTGTTTTTTTCCCCCCCTCCCTGTCTTTCTTACCAACTTGTTTTGCAAGGCTAAATTTTGAAGTCTTGCTGGCTGCTCAAGTTATACCCTGGAGAGGATTTAGGTAAAAAAAAGGCACAATTCCTCAGGGTATTGGTTTGGTATTCCAAGGTCTGTAATGTTTTGGGTATTTAAGAGACTTGGATAAATTACTCCAATAGGTAAACACCAGTAATTTATTTCTTTTTTGGTGAAACACAGGCCAGCAGTCCATAAAAAATGCAGATAGAGAAAAGCAGCTACATTTAAGAGAAACTTGAGAGAAAAGCAGCTATATTTAAGAGAAACTTGACACGGAGAGTGACCAACTAGATGAGCTCTGTAAGTGGAGCAGTGCCCATTCCATCTATGCTAAATATGAGGATTGTTATTCAGACTTCAAGCACATTCTCATTACTTGAGTGAAAGCTATGAGCAGATAATAACAGAATACACTCCAACGGATGAAAATTACTTGCTGCTGTGTTGTCACTATTTCATGACATTTTAGTTAATTATCCCATAATGACTTATGGCTGTGTGCACAGAGACTTGAGATAAAAAGGAGGAATGGCAGTGGCTTTAAAAAGCCATGTGAGAATGGATCCCTGTCTGGAAGAGGCCGATAATAAACTCTTGAGCTCAGCTCGCTCCAGGACTCCTGGGTTCTTTGCTGTAAGCGAGGGGATTGCTGAGCCCCCGGAGAGCAGTGGTCARTAAGCAGAAGCTGTTCAGAATATTGCTCGTCCATGTGAAATCCCTGTAAAGGGCAAGAGGCTGGCAGGGCTGTCACATTCCCTGCTTTATCCTTCTTGGGAGCTGCTCGGACAGATAGTGGGTGATACAGACAACATCCTGCTATTTTGCAAGTTGTCAGTTAATAACTAAATCTTCAAGTGGTATCACAGCTCTCTTACTGGAAAGAGAAATGTCTGTTTGCTTTATGTTCTTTCCTCTCTTCTTGTAATTGGTGTTTTAGACGTGTCTAACGGCAGTATTAGGTAAAATTTCAGGTAATGCAATGCMCTGTTTTACAATTCTACTGTAAATCAAGAGTCAGGGAGACCTAAAGCTTCTCATTTGCACTTGCTGGGTTAGTGACTCTAATGAGAAGATACTAATTTGCACATACAGGCTATGACAGATGCTGTCACTGACTTGCTTGGTGCCCACCAAACAGCATCTTGTAGATGTGAGGTRAGCTGGTTGCACGTAGCTTTTGCAGTAAGATGAAACTCGCTTAAAATCCATATTTTTCATCTCTATTCTATTTTTACTAGCTATGTTTCGTATAGTTCCTTTAATTATTTATTTTTCTGCTCCTCAAGTAGTAACTTGTAACATTTATTGTAGTCATAGGCCACTTCTGCAACATAGTAAATTCTTGACTATGATTGTGTTTTGGTTTTGGAGATTGAAGTTTGAGAGCAATCAAGTTAAGAATAACACTTCCAAAGAAAGCAGGAGGTGATGTTGCTGTACTGGCTAGTTCGTGTCAGTAGTATTTAAACAGCAGCATCGGCAGTGCTAAGGAAGATGAGATGTATTGAACACAATACCTTGTACTCCATGAAAAAAGAATGTACTTGGTTCCTTTCAGAACTGGCCCCTACTCAGAATGGCCCAGAATATTTCTGAAATTCTGAGGCCCTCTGTAAGTGTCAGACCTTAGTGCAAATATCCAGGCAACTCTTGACATTTTCCTTTAGATCTCTGCAGCTGCTCTAAAACATGGGTTTTTCACTCAAGGACGCTTGTCTGGCATGCAAGGTCTGGTAGATGTGGGCCAGTTTCATACTCAGTGTCATGTGAGCACTCGAGGTGAAATGCCACAGTATTAACCTTGTTGAGTCATCAGTAACAGGGTTGAAGCTTCACCCCAGAGTTTTTCTAGAGTCTTAGTAAAAGACAGATCACCTTTAGGCACCGAGGGCAGTGGGGAATTGGAGACCACTTTTCCTGGGGCAGCTGCCCCAGCTCAACATTGCCAGCTGTCACATGTACACACCGAGAAAATAGGTTCCGCTCTGTTAAGGAAATCTATAGCTTCACAATAATGTAACAATGAGTGGTGACTACTTAAGTGCTAAATTACTGATACTTGCAATGTAAATTTTAGAATATACATATATGTGTGTGTATATATCTGTAGGTGTGTATATTTTAACAAATAGAGTTGTCTCTTGGGAAGTCAGGTGGTTTTGAGAGTTACATTTGTTAGTACTAATTGGGTCAGTTTCTCAGCTGAGCAAAATGATTGTTCTTCGTGCTCTAAATATCAGCTGAGTCAATCATCCAACAGGATGACTCATAAATAATTTGTAGGAAGGGAAAGCATGAATCAACATATCAGATGCCACCCCAAACCATTTGGATCTAGGTGTCTTGGACTGAAGTGAGATGTAATGGTTGTAGCCTAAGAGCCTAGCTAATAAGACTTTCTTGAGTTTCTTACTAAGTCAAAATATCTAACAGTGGGAGGCTCACCTGAAAAGTGCCCTTACTTTCCACTCCTGCTTTTGATTTGTGACAAAAAAGAAAAAAAAAATGAAAAGAAAATAGACAAAAAGTGAATCCTACTGTGATATTACATACAAAAGTATGAGTCAGGGCTTGGGCACACAAGTGAATTGAGTAGACAGACATCAGATCTTGTGAGAGCTAAACATTAGCGAGTGGTGATGAGCACTTCAGTCTATAACAAAAATGTGCCAGCAAAGGCTTTAGGAAATGTGAAAAGCAATGAAGCTTTTCAGTGCAGGAGGCCGTAATGAAGTCTGATAAATCATTTGCCTTTTTATGTGTTGTAATAGGACTTGATTTCATGTTTTGCTTTTTAACGAACATGTAAAATACGAACTGAGCTGACTTTCTAACCCTGAGATTTTTATCTTGGCAGTTTGCCGCGAAGACTCGTACCAGTCGATAGTCTCATGTGCTGCTGTGGTCCTTACACCTGTAGAAGCAACAGYGGATACAAGGAAGAAGGAGCAGACCAAGATGCCTGATGTGTCTAAACAGTGAGTTACTGTGTCAAATGAGATCAACTTATATAAATGCAATTTTAACATCAAGCGATACTATTCATTGTGGAGATGCATGTGCACCTCTCTTCTATTTCCCCAGGGGTTATGTAGGAATTTCTAAATGCAGAAGCTGGCCAGAAGCTAGGCTTGCTTTTGTTTTTAGCCTGGCTTCTCCATGGCTTTTGATAATGAGGTGCACAGAGGGAATCAGCATTTATGCACCAAGAAAATAACTCGCTCACGGACTTAATGAGATTATTCTTTTTGTATAAATAGTTCTTTTATTCTTGCATGTGTTTTCTAGTCAACAGCTGATTTTGAGAAAAAGCATAATTCCTAAATGCTCATTTTTGTTTTACGGCTGTGATAAGAGATATGGTGGCATCTTCACAAGTGTGATAATGGTCTTGCAAGGAAATCCTATTAAATTAAATAGGCTATAATTTGATATCTTGCCCTGTTGCATTAGAAGATAATYGTGACCAGTGTGAGTAGTATCATGTGTCTTGCAATATCAGGCAGGATAGTGGTTTCTTCAAAAATGTGTTTGTGTGTGTGTGTGTATATATATATATGTATATGGGGGGAGAGAGAGTGAGAGAGAGATAATATTTGATAACTTATTTTCTTTTTCCCTTGAAAAGAAAGAAAAAACATAATAATAGACTCTTTTTAGCATGGGTTATTTTAAAATGTAACTATTAACAGCAGGGAATTAGAGATGAGGCTTGCAACGTATGTACAAATACTTTGTCAGATTAAAATAGGTACATTGTGTATGTATATATATATAGTATTTGTACATTAAAATATGTATATTATAGCTGTTACTAGCTATAATTGGGTATATACTTAAGGTATTAAGTTCATATGAATCTAGCCTTGGTGCAAGTATGTGGTTTAAGTGTGTATCTAAATGTGGTATCTGTTTCCATCTGGTGACAAACTGCCTCTTACTGGTTTATCTATGTCCTAAAGTTTTAATTCTTTTTTTGTCAGTCATCTAGTTCTTCTTAGAATGACTTGATGTTTGAAGCCCTCTTAGCAACTATTGCTCTTCTTTACTGGTGTGACTTGAGATGGTCTGGCTCTTTCAGGACTAAGGACTTGGAAAGGCAAAAGACCTCAAAATACTATATGAAAATCCTTCTTTTTATGTTAGTTTTTGCCTGTTTTCCATTGAAAGATAAACGTGAAGTGTTGCTTGATTCTTTCTCCTATCGTATCAGCAGCTTCAGCTTCATAATCCTTTATGAAGTCAAGATAGAGTAGTTCTTCTATGTGTCTAGCATGTGCTTCAGCCCTTGAATGATGCCACCTCATAGATTTAGTTTTTTCTTTGCATCTTATTGGTATTAGCAAGTATGTTCATCCGCTTTTTCAGGGTTTGTTTGTTAATTTAAAACCACTTTGGTAATAAGTTCTGAGCATGTTCTCAGATAAATTATACTTATCTCATGCGCTCAGAGGCTTCAGGAGCATGCTTTGACTTCTCTTGTTCCAGTTTGTTGCTCATGTAAGTCTGTGTGATTCTTTCAAAAAGAAAACAAGCTTGTGCTCGGACAAGTTAGGTATGTTTGAATTTCACATAGAACAACATCACTGCATTAATATCTTGACACCAGCATTTCTTAGAAATATATGAAGAATGAGATGTGTCTACATGTTATTTGAACAGGAGTAGAGTAAATTCTGAATATACTTCCTGTAAACTTGACAGCAGCAGGGGATTGGAGCATAGTGAATGACGAAGATCTGTGGAGCGCTCTGTGCAGATCTTGATAGTTATTGGCATTCCCAATAAACTTTCCTGAAAGTAATATTGATGCTTTGATTTGTCTGTATGTATTTAGGTTTGTGTATCTCAATGGTTTTGCTCTCTGTATTCTCTCAACTGTCAGTATCACAAGGGACCAGTCTTGGGAAAGGAACATCACTGGCTTCAGGGCCTTGAACAGAACATGGTTAAAGAAGTGCTTTCTAAAAGAAACACTATATAATCAAACACTGATAAAATGCATATTAATGATAAGACAACAACTAGCTACGAATAACTAAGAACAAGAAGCTATGAATGAAGCTTGAGGGGAAAAAAGAGTCTTTAGTGTAAATTGTATTATATTTGACTAATGATGTTATTTTGTCATCGTAAGAAACTCTTTAGTGTTCTTAGAGAATGTACTATATTTGCTTAATGTAATTTTATTCAAGTAGCAAATAAACATGCCAGAAGTGATAGCAGCAAAGCTTAATGATTCTTTGAAGTGTCAGTAATTAGGTATTATCAGGATTGGAGGAATAAAAGGCCGATTTATTTACTTTTTTTCTTGTATTTTGCCCTGAAGTTCATAAACATTTCATGAGAAAGCAATTCCATAGTGGCCTGTAGAGAGTGACTAACTCTTGTGCGCTGTGGGCAAAATCTCTCTCTCCATCACTGAGCAGAGGAGTTGACTGAGTAATGTTATAACGTAAGAACGAGGCATCCAAATAAGCACAGAAAGCTCTTGCTTTCCTCAGGCCGARCAAATATCTTGCCTTTAGCAGACCTGGGAGAGGCATAACTCATCATAACAAGCTTGCAGGAACCTGTTTGGTGAAGCTATGAAAGCTGCAAGAGGAAGATGCTGTCCTTGCTGAGTGCTTGGACTGTCTCTCTGTGTTGCTCTGAAGGCTGCTAGAGCACGGAGCGGGGTTGCTGCTCTTCTGTAAGTAGGAATTTTGGACCAGGGGTATTTCTGTGCTCTCTGTAGGAGAATAGTGCAGGAGTCATCTTGTTTTCACGGCCAACTATACTGTGTGTGTCTGGCTGGCGAGAGCAAGAGGGCCCCTCTGTAGCTTTTGACCTTTTAGTCCCCAGCAGGCCATGGTGCAGAGGGATTTATAGTTTGGGTGTCAATGTGAAGTCACGACAAAACACAAGAAATGTGAGCTCTAGCTTCTTCCTCTGTGCCCTTCACTTTGTCTAAGATATTGAATTAATTTGTTGCTGTATTTCTGTAGAAATACAAGCCTTAAAACACATGCTAACTTAGCGTTCAAGTTTTCAAGGCCTCTCTGGGTTGCTGTGGTGATAATTCAGTCTCTTTCTTTCCGAGGTGCCCAGATGCTGCAGTAATTGGAACACTTTATTCTATTTGCCTAGTCTTAACTTCAGTCTTTTCTATCTGAATGCAAATAAAAGTAAATCAGCTGCTGAGACCGAGCAATGACAGGAGGAGTCCTCCCTCCTGTTTCAAGCTCTTGCAGAGAGCCTGGGAAAGGAGGTGAGGGCAGCGAACTGGAAGTTGTGCTTCAGAACAGCTTAGCTTCAGCATCTGTGATCAAAGAAGGCATCAGCTGGAGGCTCTCACTGCAAGGCAGGGCCTTGAAACTGAAAGTTTCTCCAACACACGGGTTTCTGAGAAAATGTTTTGCTGCTGTCTGCTGCTTTTACATAAGCAACGAGTGAAACCTGTTCATGTGCTGCCAGCGCTTGGGGGAAGTCTAGTGCAATTCAGGTGCTCAATTTTAAATTTAAAAAGGAACGTATGTCCTTTTTTGAGTGGTATTCAGGAATATGAATGTACTGTGGTGCAGAGAAAGAAAAGGTAGCAACACATAGCTGTCATGAGATGGCTACTTTGAAGATGGCTTGAGAATTTGTGCTTCAGCTGCAGCCACATTCACCAATTTTGCTTTTTTGGGGAGATGAGGATATTATTTCTGTTTCGTTTTAGAACTACTAATTATGTCATGAATCAGATACTTGAAATTGGCAAACAGTTGACATAGGATGAAGAAATATTTGTATGAACTTTAGGGGCAATTTCCAGATGAACTGCTTAGGTAAGTTCTCCAACCTCTGGCATCACTTTCTGCTCGTAAGAGTCATATCAGATTTTTTTTCTGACAAATGTCGTGTGTATATTAGGGATTCACTTGAATATACCATCTGTCCTTTTGCTGTCCATCTTGTGCCTTGTGACTACTTACCTGAGCACAATGCTCATGCATGAGTTCAAGTTTAGTCTCCTTGGAGTCACAGCAACTACCTAGATACTGACTGATGGAAAGAAGGATAAATGGGGAACTTCTGGCTTAAATAAAAGTCTGTACTAAACTGTTAAGTGCAGATGCTCAGTTTGACAGCTGGGTAGGTTTTGGTGCATGTATATTTCATATTTGCTCACTGAAATAATTTTATAGGTGAACTTAGGAGGTTTTTGGTCTTTTTCCTATATGAATTTCAGGCTGTTAAAATGTAATTACTAATTGGAAGCTGATGACTTTTACAGCTTTTACAGACAGTCACAGTCCCTGTGACTTTTACAGCTTTGGTTAATTCCTTTCAAAAGGAGTATAGACGAAGCTGGTTATGGCCTATTCTTCCTTAGGTTATTCCTTCTSTTTTTCCCTTTTCTCTCTTTCTTGGTCCTATTTATTTATTTGTTTATTTATTGGAAAATCTCTGGAGAGAAGTTCTTCCTGCAGAGCGACAGGGCTGTTATTCGACCTCTGTGTTAGTCGCTGCTCCTCCATGGTGTCAGGAAGCGTGGGCTCTAATGCAGCCCATTTGTTTCTCTCCAGTATCCCCCGCAGATTTCTATCAGGTTTGACAGTCCTTTCAAGAAGACATGTTGTGGTAATGTGGAAAACAAATGCTTTTCAGACTAGTTTGGACAACCCGTTAAAAGATGATTGAACTGTTTCAGTTTCTTTTATAATTGCAATGACACACTGAGAAATCTCCTTGGGTAATATGGAAAGGAAATGGATGCCCATATGGTTTGAAAACTCTCATCAGACTCAATTTGAAACAATAAGAGACATTCCAACAGATATACAGTATACTTTCCACTAGAACTTTTTTTTGATCCTTAGAGAAGTCTAATTTGTATGCATTTCTTTAAGACGTGCTTAGAACATTAGTAAGGAGCTTCTGATACTGTGTGCTTATGCTACTAGCAGTGAATGGGCTAGTAATGATCTCTCCCTCTACTAGTAGGAAGCAA